CGAGCATACAATAAGTTGAAAGTTTATTTTGGTGGAATTATTTGGAAGCTTATTATGAATGGAAATTTTCAAGGTAAGTTATCCAGTGAAGTGAGTCTTTATTCTCTTTCTGTTTGGGTCGATTTCTAGTTAAACCTAAACTTGGAGATGATTGTTTCAAAAAGGAATGAAGTTTGGTACTATTTGAGTACCTGGACTTGTACATGAGAAAAGGTGACTTAAGGCATTGAATAGGAAATCTGTAAAAACCAAAGTGGTTGGAAATATAATGAAGATGTGGAAGGATGGATCAAACATCGGAAGGTCGAAGAAGCAAAACAACGTACCTATGGGCGAAGAAGGTGAGAGATGTGCCAGGTGCCATGTGGATATTAGTGATCCACCTCTCAAACCTCTGAGCAAATGTCGTGCTTATGATTAGAGATCGTCTCAGTTAATAGTGATAAGAGAGCAAGGACTGAGCATTTTGATGTCGTGCTTTCTGTGAAGGCATCAATGTAGAGATTAACAAGTGATGAAAGATTGAACAGATGTTAAATGCCCTTTCAGTTCCACTAAATAGCACCAGAGGATGAGCAGATCAACAAGGAAAAGTCCTCTGAGAAAATATCATAATTTCAGCCAGTAAATCAAACTTCTTTTTACAGCTGAACTTTTGTAAAAATGTATATAAGAATTTGGAAATCGGTTTAAAGCCTTCCCAGTGCCCAACAACTCTCTTTTACTCCCATGTCCCACAGAGATAGACATTTTTTCCATTTTCACACTATTAAGAAAAATTAATATAGTTGGAAATATAAATTTTTCTATTTTTTTTTCCTAATATACCCATATATTAAATAATAGTGTAAGTATAATTTTTTTTATATTTATTGATAACAAGGTACATTAAATAGGGGCATATTAGAAAATTAAAAAATATCTATGATTTCAATGAAGAAAGTGTCATATAATTTGGAACACACGAAAAAGGAAATCGGGTCTATCTTTATGAGACGAATGTAGTAATTAATTACTTTATTTATTTGAACTCAACAACTATGATATATATATAGTAATGATCTCCTAAGTACCGTGGTTAGTTTATTTAAAGCACCATGCTTAGGTGGCACATTGCATTAGTGGGCAGTTTGTTTACACCTAAACATGGTACTTAGCATAAACTAAGCACGGTACTTAAGAGATCATTACTGCGTATGTATATATATAATTTTGAAAAACAATTATTTTTCCACACCTGCCGAGATCCGGTTCCATTTGTTGTTAACAGTTACCAACTTGTACAAGATTTGAAGGTTTTAATTTACACAATCACACGCTACTATATATTTTTATTTGTGTTCACTCATTTGAATATAATTTGAACTTTAAACTTTATTGGTAGAAGAATAATGTTTCCTACAATGTATCTGGTTGTCATTTGATTTAAAATTGTTACCAATTCATCTTACATGAAGTCCTAGTCGATGCCACGTAGGAATAACGTGGGGATTGATCCCACATAAAAGCCACACGGACAAGTCGAGGGTGATGAATCTCAAGGCTGAGCATGAGGCTAACCCTCATGAGTCCTAGCCTAAATTATGAGGCATTGGGCTAAGCCTTATTTTATGTGATGAGTCCGACCCTGATGCCTCAACCAACCCGTGCAATGTGGAAGAAGCCAAAGAACTGTAGCACGCTTCTAAGAAAGTTGATTAGCCTTGGGCAATGAGCCAAATATACTCTTTCATGAAAAATCTATAGTATAGACCAAGTATCAAAAAAGTTCTCATATGTGGCCTGCGTATCAACCAAAGAGGGTCACCTATCCTATCACCTCCAATGGGGAAAGACGAGTAACAAGATGCAACAAGATAGGATTAAGATTATGTCTAACTATCCTATCCTATCCTATCACCCTTTCGGTTCAATGATATTATATTGTAAATCATTTCCTAACAGCATCTCCAATACAATTGTGAATTGCATTAAAAACAATATTCCATAAGATAAAATAGACAATGTCTACAAAAGTTCATCTGCGATACAATTAACGTAGTAAGAAAAAAGTAGATATTTTGAAGAGATCTGTCTAGATGCTGAGGCTCTTGTAGATTGAGTGGATCAATAAAGCTTAATATTTATATCTTATTCTCTCATTTGTTTCTCTTTTCTATTAAATATATATTAGAGATAAAATTTGAAAATATACATAACCCACTAAAGATAAAGTTTAAACTTAACCGTCTACTCATTAGACATCAATATATTGTAGGTTATAACCTTTTGATTAAGGAATGCAAACTTTTGGGCTTAGAGTTTAAATTAAGGCAATGTCCCCCAACAACTCAACCAGATCAACTGATCAATTGCGATGTCCCACCTGTTTAAATTCAAGTCAATTCAAGTTTAAGGTTGTTTATTAAACGAGTCCATGTTTGTACTTGTATTCGTCCATTAGTTGATAGTTTGTGAACAACCAGTATTTTTCATGACTCACATTAGAAATAAAGAAGTAATAATCATTTTACTTCAACAATTTTCCTAAATACATTAATGAGAAAACTAGTAATTAATAAAGATGGTTACAGATAATACAAAATGTTTACAATTACTTATATCTAAAAGATTTTGCTATTTGTCAACCTCGGTGTACAACCCTCTCACAATAGGGTGATCCACGCCCAATAAAAAAATTATTGCCCCCCTATTGTGAGGGAGGCTGTACCCTGTTTACACATAACAAAACCCATATCTAAATGTATAAATTGATTGTGTTTTAATTTTATCACCGAGCTCGAGTTTAAACTCTAATTGGTCAAGAACCTACTACCTTGTGGGTTCATTTGCTCTACCACGGTGAGTTCAAATTTTGAGAGACGTGACTTATAATATAGAAATTTCGTGAAGTTATGGCAGCAAATAGGTAAATGTTTTGGCTAACCGATTCAAATCAGGATTTTGACATAAAAAACTAGAGTAGTTGGATAAAAACTTGGAAAATCAAGATAAATGATTTCATTTTATGATAAAAATGATAAATATTCTACAGCTAGTTAACACCCACCCACAGCTTGATTTATTTAAAACTTCAATTATTTCAGGAAATTATTTTATTTTCTTAAATAATTTAAAATACGGGTTAATTTCACAAACGGTCACTGAAGTTACGTCAAAATCACAAAACGATCACTGAAGTTTAAAACTTGCACAAACGGTCACTAAAGTATCATTTGGTTGCACAAACGGTCACTGAAGGACCTTTTCATTTTAATTGGAACTTAAAGGACCAAAATAGTTGACATTTGAAACTTGAAGGCCTAAATCACAAATTTTACAATAAAACCCCCCAATCCCTATTTCTTACTGGCTTATACACGACCTGAGGAGATGGAAGCTATTTTGGGAGGGAAATTAGGGGAAATCATGCTAAATATCATCCCATTAATTCTTCCCAATCCTTAAGTTGAGCTTCCAATCAAGAACCCAGATAATCAAATCTTCTTTTCAAACTCTATTTTGAAAGTGACCATGTAGTTTTTATCATTGTTCCTTTTTTGATGTAATGTGGAAGATTATGAGTGATATTTCACTCACTGCACTGCTACCATTTTTGGGAGTTGGAATTGGCTTAATGTCTACTTCTTTAGTTGCTGCATAAGAGTCATTGTTGCAGATTCAAAAACTTGCACTGTTTTTTGCTGATTTATCTATTTGATGGAATGGAAATTTAATCCATTTGTTGCAAGTCTGATTACAATATTTGCACTTTGTTTGTTCATTTCTCTGTGTGATTGTATTACACCACAAACAAGTCCCCCACACCAACACTTTATCAAACTAGCACCCAGTCAAGTTCACTGCTTTGCTGTAATTAGGTAAAATTCAAGTGCAAACTAGAGATATTGTGAGTCAAGATGATGTTTTATTGTTTTTATCAATTGTTTGACTGATGAACCTACAGATATCCCTTCACACTCATAACTACATGACTCAAAATTAAGCCACAACACTTTCTACAAATATAGCACCTGATACATCACAAATATAGCACCTGATACACCACAACACTTTCTGCACTCAACATCAAGCCAGCACAAATTCAGATGACTGATACAAGATTAAACCAGCACAAACTCAGACTACAGGCTGACTTAATTGACCCAAAAATCTCAGATACATTGCTTAATCGACCTCACTTCAGTGACACCACAAAACCAGTGTCAACATCAAAAGAAAATGTCACCATCTACACTACACTTTAAGGTTCAGGCTGCCCTCAAAAATTTCATAGAAGGCTTGAATGTGCTGGTGTCCACCTCCATTACCATCAATTGACTGGGCTCAAGGCTCTTGTTATTGCCAACTACAGACTCACGGGTATAATTCCTCAATGGTTGAGTGGGTGTACAAAATGCGACTATTGGATTTGTCCTGGAACCGTATGGAGGGTACAATTCCACCTTGGTTCGGCAATTTCCTTCCGCTTCCATTCCTCTCAGGTCGTTTCACAGACTAAGAAATGGGGATTGGAGGGTTTTATTGTAAAATTTGTGATTTAGGCCTTCAAGTTTCAAATGTCAACTATTTTGGTCCTTAAGTTCCAATTAAAACGAAAAGGTCCTTCAGTTACCGTTTGTGCAACCAAATGATACTTCAGTGACCGTTGGTGCAAGTTTTAAACTTCAGTGACCGTTTTGTGATTTTGACGTAACTTCAGTGACCGTTTGTGAAATTAACCCTTTAAAATACTAATTATTAAAGAAGTTGGTTCAACAAATTAGGGTATTTTTAATATCAACGGCTCAGAATGGCTCTGATGTGAAAACATTGAAATCTTGAAAATATATGTTCAAAGTAGGGTTCACGGAACCTTTACCCAACTCCCTATGTATCTATTAATTATAAATGCACAATACAAATTGCCTCTATTTTCTCATAGTCAACTCTCCACCCTCCTCCCCACTCATCCTCCTCCTCTTCCACTGCCACAACCAATGTCTTCGGAATGTGATCCCATGATCAAGACACTCAGCCACCACCACCGTACCGCCACATTCCGATGGCAAAGTCGTCGCAAAATATCTTTTCGAAGGCAGAGGCTTCCCATGATCCGCCTTGGTGGGAAGAGGCCCCGTGGTGGATTCTTGTTGATGAGAGTTTTTCGACGAGTGAAGATGCGGTGGTCGAAGTTAAAGCACTTGAGAATGCTTAAGAAGCTCAAAAAATATTATCTTAATTTAATGAAAGACATTGCTATTGGGAGTGGTACAATCAAGTCATTCCAACAGAAGTTGCATTTGGAGACATCTTTTGCCATCCCTGTCGTGGGACTTTCTTTCAATTCATATCCAAACAATTTTTGAGGTTATTTCTATTTAATCTTGTTTTTTACTACCAAAAAATGTAAGCATGTGGATATATATAAATAAAATATTGTGTTTCTTTAATTTGTTTATGTGTGTATTTATGTACATAAATGTATTTATTTAGCAATTGCATGCATGCAAGTCATTATTTGCATTATTCAAAAATAAATGTTGTGTACGTATATTTACGGATAGTGATGGAAAAAAAAACCCGTCCCGACGGATTGGCGGGGCGGGGCGGGGATCGTCGCCCCGTCTCGGGTCTCGGGGCGGGGCGCCCCGTCCCGTTAAGAATTAAAAAAAAATTATTTTGGATATTATTTGTTTTGGACATTATTTGTTTTGAGTGCTTGTTTTGGATATTGATATAGTTAGTTTGAGCATTATTTGCTTTGAATTTTAAAATTTTGAATTTATATTTTAACTGGAAATATTTGAAAAAAATAAAAAATAAATAAACTGGGCAGGCCCGCCCTCGAGGACGCAGTACAGCTGCGATAAAGCCACTGCTCGACTCTTCGGCTACGGGAGCTCCTCAAGGGTGACGACAATCTAAAGAAAATGGAGAGGGTAGAGAGAGACGAGATAGAGAGAGACGAGGAGAGAATCAGAGGGTGATGAAAAATGATTTAGGGTTTGAGATTGGGTAGGGTCGGAATAATATTTAATTTTTAAATCTATACCTGAATTTTGATTAAAAAA